ATGCTCAGTGTGGTTGACCACCTTCTCGGCAGCGGCATTGGCCTGTCTCTGAAGGTCCTCACCCTCAAACATAAAGGTAAGCTCTTCGAGCGTCCGACCCATGGTTTCAGGGAACATAAAGTAGACGAAGCAGACCTCGAATGCGAGCCAGCAGCAGTACGAAATGAGGTACTTCCAGCCAACGTTCTTGAGACCGATGGGGTTGACAAAGGTGGTGAAGAAGCCGGCCAGACGACCAAAGAGCTGGAAGACGGCAATACCACGGGAGCGCTCGGCATACGGCCAGACTTCCACCATGTAAGCTGCCCTTTGAATTAGTGATATTGACCTCTGAACAGGACATGGGGGTTCAACTTACTGTAGGTCAGGGCGTTGTAACCCATGTTATAGCACGGCGAGTACATGTAGATGAAGAAGAGGGTGGCGATGTTCGCCCCGTTGTTGGGTGTCCCATTCGCCTTGCCTGTCATGGCGCGCTCCATGGAGACAGTCCATGCGATATAGCACAGCAGCAAGCTGATGGTGCAAGCCATGTACATGATACGACGTCTGATACGGGTGACAAGGAGCGAAACGGTCACGCCGCAAAACAAACTCCAACAGGCGATGGAGACGTTGATCTTTTGGATAAAGGTCGACTCAGTGAAGCCAATCATCTTGAGGAGGTCGCCGAGGAAGTAGGAGATGAGAGTATTGCCGGACCATTGGGTGAAGAGACCGAGCATGGACGAGATGAGAAGACGCTTGCGCATGCCCGAGGTCCGAAGGAGATCCATCCACGAGCTCTTGGAGACGGTTTCGTATTCGAGACGGATGACGGCTTGCATCTGGGCGAACTCGGCGGCCACGAATTCCTCACCGCGCTCCATTTCTCCGTGGTACTTTTTCAGAATGTCGTGGGCTTCTTGAGAGCGGTCCTTGGTGATTAGCCAGCGGGGACTCTCGGGGATGAAGCTGCATTTCCTCAAGTCAGCGAATTCTCGTTCTCTGGCCAACAAGACGCATGACTCAAGACGTACAAGACAAAGGCAAGTTGAAGCAGTGAAGGGCAAATCTGGAGAAGGGATGGGATTCTCCAGCCCCAATTGCTCGCGATGCTGTTGGTGCCAAAGACAATGGCGGCAGCAACGATTTGGCCGACGAAATAGGACACGTTGAAGAGCGAGGTCAAGACGGGACGTTCTTTCGGGTAGGCAAGTTCGCCGATAAGGGAGGAGCCGGAGACGATGCAGGTGGGGATGCCGAAGCCGAGAATCATACGGGCGACGATGTACATGCCGACTGTTGTTGGCGGCGGTCAGTGTTGGCGTTTTTGTGGTATTTACGGCAGAGAGAGAGGTATATAGGTGCTTACCATGTTGGGAAAACCCCTGAATGATGGCGCCCACAATCATGACGATTGAGCCAAGAGCAATAGACCATCTTCGACCGAACCTGTCGTTGATGATAGGTACCAGGGGAAGAGACAGAATGGCACCAAGAGAGTACGCTGCGCTGATGATGCCTTTGAGAGCTCCCTGCGGGTTGTCGAAGTCTGCAATACTGTGATTAGCAAGGAAGGAACCAGAACGGCACCATGTCCATGTATCGCATGGCGCTGACAGAAGGCCAGAACGAGTAGGAGGAACAATGAGGATGAAGACTTACACTGGATCCACGACTCCAAAATCTGCAGGGCGTTGATCATCTGGGAATCAAACCCCGACGTCAACTCGATGCCCATACATGTCGGGAAAAGCATAAAGTAGAGGAATCGCAGGTTGGGTTTCTTGTACCATGGGATTGGGTCCTCTTTGGCGAGGCGGGAGATGACGGGGTCGGAACCCCCGAAGTCACCGCCTGCACCGCCCATTTTGGGAAATGATTGTTGATGTTGGTCTTTCTACTGCTGCTGGTAATGTAGGGAGTGCTGTTTGTAGGAGAAGTGGAGGAGCAGGAGGAGGAGCAGGAGGAGGTTTGAGTTGCCCAAGGTTGGCGAAGTATGGTTGGGAACAAAGCAAGAGAGCAGAGGGGACAAGAGTCTATCTGTCTGGATGGCAGCAGGTAGTCTATCTATGTATGAATGGACTTCGAACCATGGACCGGCTGCCTGGGAATAATACCCTACCTTCTCGAGTCGTCAAACCATGGGATGTGATAGGTTACAACTCCGCGCGAACCCTACCTACCTACCTACATGCAATATCGAGCCGTCCGGGGGATCACCATGTACCCTGTTACCCCATTATTCCATCCCTGGTAGAATGTAGACAACATATCTACAATCACGGATCACCGTATCCTTAAGGTATGGCACACCTCGTTCGTTCGTTCGTGTGCGGGGATGGAACACGGAAAGACTAATTCGGTACCGCACTAGAGTGTAAACGAATCATGATGGTTGTTCCCCCACACACTACCACACCAAGTCTCGAGTTCCCCAACTTTACTCTAACCTCTTCCGGAGATACTAGGCGGGGGAAAACCATTGTCGGGTTGACAGCCTGAGGTGCCTAACTCTATCCGGTCGAAGATGACCAATGAGACGGCTGTGTTAATGTTGCACATGTGCCGCCGCCGGGTCGTCTTACATTACCCCATGATTTACATGCCCATTCTGAGGTAACGTCCCTGTTTTGCATGTACCGAGCGCTTGGCATTTCATGGAGGTCTGGGGTGGGATGGGGTAGAATGGAAAGGCTGACGGCCAAGCTAAATAGCGGATTGGACGACGGACGGCCTGACAAGGAAAAAAGGGAGGGGAAGGGGAGTGGGATTTGACAGAAAGGCTTCCCCGGATAAATACCATGTACATAGTGTACTCACATGTGCAGGTACCAAGCCGGGATAGAGGCTATTTCATCCGTTAGCGTCTTTTTGGATTCGATTATATTGGACCCTTCCTTCCTTTTTCGAGAATGACAGAGATGGAGGTGTATGTAGGAAGATTGGTGGAGTGAGTTCACATGCGAGCCAATGTGAACTTGTTTACCTACCTAGGTACTGAACTGGAACATACCTACCCTAGGTAGGGAGGCCAAGAACTCCAAGGAGAGGAGAACGGGAGCCAAGCCCTATGGTTTGTGAGGTAACCTGGAGGTAACCTGTCAGCAGGGCATGTTTCGGGGTTCGAATGAGGGTCGAGGGTCGAGGGTTGGAGTAAGAGATGTGGCGATTGAAGAAAGAGCGGGCAAGAAGGAAGGAAGGAAGGATTAACGAATTACGAAACACGGTTAGGCGGACCATTGCAGCACGCTCAGGAGAATTCTACTGATCTGGATGGTCTGACAGGACGAAATGTGTCGCTCGTGGGCGTCAAGTCAAGTATTAGGTACCTTTCAAAGTCGATCGGAAGGCGGTTCCACACTTAAAGGTTCGTCTGGGGGTGGTTTGTCTTTGCTCTTTGCTCTTGTGGGAAAGTAAGATGACAGGAAGTCTAGAGATAGCAGGCACTTCATGAGAATCTTGGAAGGTAGGTAGGGATGGCTGGCTTATATACTTGCCAAGTCTCGACTCTATCCCGAGTTCCCCGTTACATACGCCCATCCAGTCATCAAAGACAACACTCAGACGTTCAGATACTACCTCTGCATAATACTACCACGCCAACCTACTTACACCGTAGTGTACTTTGGCATCTTAACAGCCATTATGCATGTTCCACACTCTCATCTTTTCATCTCTTGTGCTTCTCCGCGTTTGGTCTACGAACTTTACCTAGACTGCATATGTTGGGATGCTGGAACCGACGTTGATGGTCTCAGGCTTGGCTACCAGGTCGATCCCCCTTCCTCCGGGACCGAATTTAGAAGGGAAGATGCATGTGAAGAGACTGAAGGCTGTGGTGATATGAGTGGCTCAGCTAGGTTGATATGAAGACCTTGTCATGATCAAGGGCCGAACCGGGTTAAATAATGCTAACGGAGTCAATGGGACTGCGGGTTGAGATTATGTTACACGCTACACGGCAGAAAGCACCAGGTTTGACACTTTAACCTTCAAAACCCAGCAATCCCGGACTGGGTTATGTTGGATATCACATGGATTTGAAGTCTTCCTCTCATCTCACGAGGTGTATATCTAAGGTACGGCGTGAAGCCTAAAGCAGCGTAGCAATGGAGTTGAGAGTTCCGTTCCAGCGGTTTGGGACAAGATATGAACTCGCATTCTTCATTCTTTATTTATCAGTTGTGATACCTTTGTTAGACGAAATAGGTACCTACCTCTACCTCTCTTCCCTTGATCCAGATCATAGGGACTTGGATAACGACGCGAATGATTTGTTGCGAGCCAAGAGGAAGCCAAGGAGGACTCATCAATAGAGGTAGGTAGGAGGCACGATTCTGTGCTTGCTAAAATGCCTGGCAGCCGAGGTGGTGTGGGACAGGGCTACAGGAGTTCATCCACTGTTGGTTCTCTAGTTAAAATCGGGAGTCAGATTGGAAGAATCGCCGGTGAGGGATGGACGATGATCTGACCAAGATTCCATTGAGAAGAGCGAGGCGATGGAATTGACATCTAAAAATGTGAAATCGGATTCAGCATCAAGCGTCACTATCGGTCGAGGTCATTGAGTCTGAAGAGTGCTCGACATTTGTTGCGCGATGCAGACATCTCTGCACATGAGTACAGGTAAAAGCAAAGTTGTAGTACATATGTACATGAACAAACAAAACGAACAAAGAAAACCGCCAATCCTCCTCTGAAGGTACCTCTATGTTTTTTTTCGTCATCATCCGTCGTGCCTTACCCTTCCAAAACACAAGGTACTTTTCTCACAGAGGTACCCTGGATCCCATCTTTTTTTTGGTCGCCAGCGCCTGCGTTCTGGGAGGGAGCTTTTGCCTTTCCAGACCTTTTTCCCAAACCATGTTCTTCCTGGTCTCACCACCTTTCCTCTCTCCTCCAACCTTCTTTTCTTTTTCACAACAGAATGCGGTCAACAGCTTCAAGCCATGACCTATCTCTTCCACAATGCCTTCCTTCCACTTCCTTCGTACATATCTCTCTGAGCTTCGAGGTTACCACCTCAAACTCGCCGTCCTAGCAGGGTAAGCAGGCATATCACCACCACCACCCGTACCATGCCCAGCATCAAACCCACCACCACCACCTTGCGTCGTCTGTTCCACCGTCATCGTAACCTCTTGCGTCCTCATGATCATTCCCATCGGAGTGGGAGTACGAGAGATAACCCCCCTTCCACCACCACCAGCAGGCTCCGTCTCAAGCCCCTGCCCCTGCGAAATCACGACCCCCGACATCATCGTCGCCACCGAGGACCGTGTTCTGTCATCTACCATTCCATGATTCCCTGTGCGCATTTGCGGCTGCAACTGTCCATTTCCCTCGTCATCATGCTCAAGCCCATTGTGATCCTCCATGTCCTGCCCACGATGACCCATCAAAATCAAGATACTCTCCTGACTTTCGGCCTTTGCATCATGACTATACCGTAACCCATCCCCCATGTCTCCTCCGACTCCCACTTCAACAGCAAAATAAGTCTCTGACTCGGCTGCCGTTGCCGGCGTCGTCACGACCAGCAAGTCATCATCATCTTGTAGTTCCGCAGCATTCTTTGGTGACTTTATGTTCTTGGACATGGACATGGACATGGAGGCGCCGCCGCCGGCTTGGAGTTCCACATCGTCAACGGTGGATTTGGGAGATCTGGACTTGGACCATAATTGCTTGTGGTAGCTGTCCCGCGTGGTTGACAAGTGAGTGTGCCGACGACCCCCGTAATAGACTCCGTGGCCTCCTCCGCTGGAATTGTTGTAGCCGCCTGATCGGGGGGTGCTGCAGAGGGTGCGGCGGCCCATGAGGACGTCGAGAAGGGGTTGGAGGAGGGGAATGCAGGAGGCGATGATGATGGTGCTGCCTTCGATGCTGTGGGGTAGAGGTTAGTGAGATATGACAGGAGGAGTGGAACGGGGCGGTCACTGATTGGGAAGGAAATCGTGGAAGCGGGAAGTGGTTCAAAGGGTTTCTCAGAGGAAATTGAATAAAGCTTACAGGGACCAGATGACCAGATCGGTGGTATCCCAGGAGAAATCAGCTCCGGCGAGCGAAGGGAGACGAGTGGATTTGTAGAGGGACACGATTGCCGAGACGGATCCGATGCTCAGGGCGGAGCAGAGGGCGATCTTCTTCTTGTTGTTGATCTGCAGTTTGAAGAGGACGATGGTGGGGTAAACGGCGAGGTAAAGATCCGTCAAGGCGGAGAAACCTGTGGACAGAAAAGGTGAGTTGAACTTTTTCGTCTCAGTCTAATCTTCAGTCATTAGAGGCACTTGCACTTACATCCAGCAACCATCGAATACCTCACCAACAACCACGGACTCCAGCACTTGACATTGGTAATCGAGAAGTCCCATTGTGCCCGCGAGGGCGTGCACTGGGCAAACAAAATGACGGCGCAGCCAAGGATAGCCACCTGGCAAGTGCTGACCAGCAACCAGAGAAAAACACGATGCCACCGGGCCGGGTTCAGTAGCCGCGTCAGCAGAGTCACGACGGCGAACTTGGGAATGGTGAAGGCGAGGATGCTGGGCGTGAAGCTGAAGAAGGCCCATTTGATCATCTGCTGTTTTCCATCAAGGGGTAAAACGTCAAAGTGCCTGCCGAAACCATGGTACACCGAGGCGATGGTCATGCCGACGCAGATCCACGCACATGCCTGCCGTAGGTAGTTAGTAAGAGTGTCATGTTAGTCTTGGATGAGGTGTGGTGATGACTGGCAGATCAGATGCGGTAGAAAGAAAGGAGAGAGACTCACTAATCCAAGAAGGATCAAACAATCATCCACCTCCACTTTTCCCAGTATCCTCGTCCGCACAAAGAGACGGGCAAACACAAAGACGGTGCTGATGGCCACGATGGTGGTGATGACGGCTATGACTCCTGGGCCCTTATTGGCCTGCATGTACGCCTCAGACGGCCCTTGGTGTGCAAAGGCTGGCGAAGCTGATACTGAGTCAGCCATGGCTGTAACGAATGAATGAATAAACGAATGACTGTCTGGGTGTCTTGTAGCACAGATGGAAGGGAGGTATTGTTCGTGAACGAGTGTTTGCTTAGGTAGTCGTGTCTTATGTCATTCCATTTCCATCATGTTGATGTCTCAAGCAGGTCTTGGGAGGCGCCTGGCCAGATGTATGAAGAGGCCTTGTGACAGAAAGGCATCCATGTGGTGTTTATTCGCCATTGTCAACTCTCATGCAGTGACTGAATAATAGAGTACCTATATTTCCAGCTTGCTTTTTCTGTTGTTGTTTCTCTCATGACAATGGTCTTCACCTTTCTCTTTTGAGGGTTCTCTTGCGAACGATCGTTGGGACTTGAGAGAATCAGAGTGTAACCTTGGATCTCGATTCCTCAATCCAACCGACCGAACAGAAGACATCCGGAACCCACTTCTCTGTAACCAGAAACAGGTGGTGAACCCCTGGTACCTGCAGGTAATTAGATGAAGACAACCTTAAAGCATGAAGCTGAGTCCGTAGGGGCCTGTCCTGCTTTGGTCACTGGTCACTGGTCTGTTCTGGGGTGCGAGAAGGGTTCAGGCATCCTTCGTCTTCTTCTTCAGGTGACTGGCTGAGCCTTATGAAGTGGCCTAACTTTATGTTGTTGGGGGGTTATTTGATGATAAGAGTCGCCGGAGATAGGCCATCACCCCACGCCGGTTGGACTGATGCCTGGACTGATCATCGATCCGTTCATTGGCGTAGATACGGTGGGCGACTTGGTTGCCCTGGTACGGCCGGTGATCCGGGGAATGGAGGTATGTAAGGAAGGGAGGAGGGTTCGAGTGGGAATTTACCCCAGATCCAGTTTCTTCACGGTTCCCATCGTGAGCCATTGTACAGGTATCCACGGGTTCACTCTCGCTAACGGTCCGAGACCGAAACCGAGACTAGGAACGGAGTCAATCCCTCTGGTGGAGATCGTGTCTACCATTTCTTTTCGCCGTTCTTCCCAACTGGAACATCCAGGGAAGCGGCGTGTGGCCCAGGCGTGACAAAAAGTTGGAGAGTTCGTGTCCTCGCGGCAAACGGAAGAAATTTGCCGGAAGTTTTGAATACCAGGTTAGGTATTGACAAGGAATGGTCCCTTGAACAAGTCGTTCTAGAAAGGAATCCTCTGGGTGCAGTGGTGCCATCAAAAGCAACATGAACTCCAGCCCCCTTCCTACTCGCAGAACCAAAAACAAACAAATTCTGGGTCTCTCTTTCTGCTTTCGAATCAGAATGCTACCTACCTCGGTTCGCCCTTCCTCTTTCTCATCGTCTGAAACTCGACAATTCTGCTGGAGGGGCATGTAAAATCCGAACTGCACATCAGAACATCGCCGGCAACACGAGTACGACACGACCCTTGACACAAGTACGACATGGCCCTTGCCACGACGTTGATGGATTCCTTGAGGAAGTTGCTTGCTTTTTCGAACCTTATCGGCATGAATGACCACGTTCCGCGAGGTTTCAGTCTCTGTCTGTTTATTTTTTTCCGGTTGGTTCACGTCCACGAAGCCCTCCTCACCAACAAAGCCAATGGGAGAATATTCCGCCGAATTTCCACACACACCTTGATGTGACCTGATGGCAGTCCATTCCATCCGGCAACGATTTGCGGTTCCGATTTTAGTGATAAGGTGTTAACGGAGCGCGTAGCAGAATGGCGTACCGGGATCGCGAGCCTGGCGCTGGCGGTGCTGTTGGTGGAATGGGAGCAGGACAGGACCTAATTTTAAACCCGAGCCGGTTTCGACATGGCCGGAAGTGGCATCCGGTACAGTGCGGCACGGGTGCTGCCGCTGTCAGGCCCATAAATATCCGCGGCCGGGCAGGGCAGTGCCTGAGAAGTTGGATCCCAAGGGGCCAAGAGCCGTGGCTTCACTCTGGGACGGTAAATGGGCGTCAGCGAGGGTATCACAGAGACGTGAAAAGATGCTCTCCGAGCTGGGGTGATGGAACTTTGAAAACCAACAAGCTTGAACACTCGAAAAGTAACTTCAAACATGGGACACACTGGGAAAACGAGAGCATAAATTGGGGCGGTGAAAGAGAAATTGAAGTTTGTACCTGACCATAGAATTCGGGCATCTAGGTCAAGCCACAAATGACTGTTCGACTTTTGAAGCACCAGACTTGGGAATGGCAGCTCACAAGGGGCCTTCGTTCGATGGATTGTTCTCGGAAGGTTTCTCGGTAAAAATGCCGCCGGCGCGATGACACTCTAGATTGTTGCTGATACCACCTGGTCGACCATTTATCGCCCTTGTCGTTGTTCGCATGAAGTTTATATGACTGAACAATCGAACGACAAGTGGCATGCAGCACCGTTTTGCCTACTACCCCAACCCTTATAAGCACACTGTGCGACATAGCTGTTCGTTCCTTCGATTCGTTCGTCCGTGTAAATAAGTTGTTCCGATTGGATGGACTAGGGTCGTCGGTTGCAACGACCGCAACCACGCTCGCTACACTTGCCTCATTGTTGACTTTGCGGGAAAGGGAAGAACCTCCTCCGTCACTGGTTATTCGCTTTCGTCTTCTGCAGGTCCCTTCCAAAGACAAGAGCGGCCTTTGTTGGATTTTGGTTGCTTCGTTCATGCAGTCGAGTTTTGGGAAGGTAAGTTGCAGGAAACTCGTATCTCGATCATAAACATGCCCCTCCGTAGCATCAATCGCAAACATTGACCCTGAGAGTCAAAGTCTGAGGCATCCAGAATTTCAAGCCAGCTCCCACTTTCCGGACTTCTCAGGGGCCCTGGGCCTGTAGTGTTGTTTTCCATATATTGACAGGTAGCGCCACCATTCGGTCCAACCATGCAAAAGTCCAGACTCTGCGACACTCGATTATTGAGATTACTGCCCTTCGCTGCTGGGTGACAGACAAGGACAGCGATGCGTGTGAACGCCATCGGGTTGAGCCACACATGGATGAACAAGCCCACATGGCCGGGGTGGTATCCGTGTTATCGGAGGTAGCGTTTGAGTGAGAGATCTCGACCTCTTGCGTTGCCATCCCAATGCAGTGGAAACAAAGGTCCAGAGCAAGCCAACTGCATGAAGCTTGGTGTTCGGAGACCGGCAAAGACCACACCTCCTATTTCGTTGTTCATGATCCAGATATATCTCCCATCACGTCTCACCCTCCAAAGGTGAGTCCTTGAGCCCATCCACTTTATTCCCAGCCATTCGTCGTAAGTGACACACCAAACCACCACCTTCACAATGGCCGTATCCGTCCAACCCCCCACCCGCGACCGCACCGCCGGCCACCGCACCAAAAAGTCCACGTCTTCCGTCTCCGTTGCTCCCGTATCAGAACCCCAACCCATCGACCCAGCCATCATCAACCGCCCCAACGATCTCTCTGCGGTACCCTCTCTCCTCTCCGCCATCTTCACTCAAGGCATCGCGGCCGTCTCGTCCCCCTCAGATGACGGCACGCGGCTCGCCCTCCTCTCGTCCGCGCGGGCCCTCGTGTTGGCACTCGAAAGCCCGCGCGAGACCATGCTCCGGCAGTGCTGGGCCGACACGGTCTGCATGTCCACCTTGTCGGTCGGCGTCGACACGGGCGTGTGGGCCTACCTCGGGCGAGACGACCGACCGAAGCGCGTGGCGGACATTGCTGCGGCCACGGGGTTTGAGGCGGCATACCTGGCCCGACTGCTGAAGCACGTGGCTGCCATGGGCCATGTGATTGAGACGGGCAAGGACGAGTATAAGCCGACCAACTTTAGTAAAGCGCTGGCGATCCCGACTTTGGGGGCTGCGTACCCTTTGTTGTGAGTTTCTTTCTTATCCCTATTTCTTCTTATATCCCTCCCCTTTTCTCATCTGGCTGAAGCTGACACCCCGAAAAGCACGGGACCAGGTAACACGGGCGGCGTCCTCCGCTGCACGGCCTCGTTCCCTTCCTACCTCAAGTCCACCAACCTCACCACCCCGACTTCCATCACCAACAGTAACACGCAGTTCGCCTTCGACACCCCCAAGAACTTTTTTGAGCTGTGCCATGACCCGGCATATGCGCCCATGGGGGCCCAGTTCAACACGCACATGGGGTCGTACGCCTTTGGCCGGCCCACGTGGGTGGACGAGGGCTTTTATCCCGTGGGGGAGCGCCTGCTTGAGGGTTTCGATGACGAGGATGAGACGGCGGCGTTGTTGGTGGATATTGGCGGGAGTATCGGGCATGATTTGCAGAAATTCAGGGATGCCTTTCCGGAAGCGAAGGGAAGACTGGTCCTGCAGGATCTGGAGCCCGTGGTGGCGCAGGTGAAGGAGGACGAATTGGATGCGAGTATTGAGAGGATGGCGTATGACTTTTTGACGGAGCAGCCGGTTAAGGGTGAGTTTCCATTCATTTTCTTGTCCTGGAATGGTCGGTTGCATGGACAAGGTACTAATATGATGGATCATAGGAGCTCGCGCGTACTACATGCATTCGGTCCTGCACGACTGGCCGGATCATCAGTGCATCCCCATTCTGGAAAACGTCAAGGCGGCCATGAAGCCGGGCTACTCGCGCTTGTTGATCAACGAGAACGTAATCCCTGACGTGGGCGCAAGCTGGGAGAGCACCTCGTTGGATATCATGATGTCGTGCTTGGTGTCGTCCAAGGAGAGGACAAGGGACGAGTGGGTGCAGTTGTTGGAGCGCGATGCTGGCCTCAAGATCACCGGGTTTTATCCGGTTGGGAATGGCGTGGAGAGTATCATTGAGTGTGAGTTGCCAAGTGAAGAGAGTGAGTCGTCGACCGAGGACACTGAGTCGTCGACGGATGAGTCTTTGTAATGTCGTGATACCAATCAAGTAGTGTGTTTGTATGGACTGGATACCGATTCTTGCGTCTTGTACCTTTTCAATCCTGGTTTCCGGTCTTCCTCTTTATACTAAACCGGTCAGGTAAAGCAGAGTGTTGAACCGTTTCGTAAAATCTAGGAAAGGGCAGACTGTGGTGAGATGTTGCTTTTGCCGAGTGTCCAATGCCGGTGCCCGTTTGCCCGTCAGTGTTTTGGTGGAAAATGATGACGTCGGGAGATACAGTGGGCAGTTGCTTACAGCGGCCTCTCAGTGGACCACTGCACTAACAGCGATGCCATGACTTTTGCCGTAGCCAAGTTAGAGTGATAAGATAAGCGAGTCCGACGATGATTCAGCACGTGAGCTCGCACAGTTGACCGAGTTTTAGCGTGTCCACGGACGGCACTGCAGTCCCTGGCTGGACCCCGCGTCGCGTACTAACAATTAACTTGAAGCCAACCAACTTTGGACTCGACAATCCCAATTCCCAAAGTCAGTCAGACAGTCAATTGTACCATTCCATCCCGTCAACCATCTCAGCAACCTACCTACCTACTACTGTCTTGTTGTCCGACTTCTCTTCTCTCCACTCACCTACCTACTCAGGTCCCCTCTCGCGGCTATCAAGCGACCCTCTTGTGACTTTCACCGATCCGATGCCCATTCCTGCCCATTCCTGCAGCGAGTCCAGTTCTGATCGAGGCTGAGCGGCAGTCCTCCTTGGACCATCATTGGAGGTTCAGCTACCTTAGGTAGGTAGGTAGGTACCTACTTGCGTCTGCGCAGTCCTAAGGTGGTGACAACGCCGGCGCTACCTCTACTTACACGGACACTGTCCACAGCACCGTACGCCGTCGTTTTCCATCCGTTTGCTCGACCATCCATCCATCCATCCATCTTCTCGACTTTTCTCCTCGTTTCTTCCTCTCGAGACCTAGAATAATACTACACAATCCAACAGCCATGGCACCTCCACGACTCCCTGATCTGCCAACCGAGCTGATCTACCTCATCGCCGCCCACCTCCCCAAAGCTTGCGATCTCTCCGCCTTGGCCCGGACAAATCAACGGCTCTACTGCATCATCAACAACATTCTCTACACCGGAGCTGTCAAGCCCGGCACCGACCCTCAACCCCTTCTCTGGGCTACCCGACATGGAGTCCCGTCCACCGTAGACAAGGCCATTTGCGCCGGCGCCAAGCCAGACTACCTCTTCGAGTTTGTCCTCTCCCGCAAGGCCTGGGAACTCGTCTGTATCCTCGAACGCGCTGCCGCCCCCAACGAGAACTCGGACTTTGAAGACTGGAACTGGCCCCCTCACTCCAACACCAACTACAGCAACTCGGCCACCCCCGAGCTCTACCGCGACCTTCACGATATCATGGGCACCATGCGCGCCCCGTGGGATCCCCGCCCCAACCCCCCTCCCAACAACCTGTCCGGCCCCGCGAACCCCCTTCTCGACCTGTTGGAGAACGAACCAACCCAAGTACTTAGTGGTTCCGAGACTGAACCTCTTTCGGAGCCTGATGATCCCATGCCCTTCCCCCCTCCACCAGGAGGAGGAGGATTGGTGGGCGCTTTTCTCGGTAACCTGTTTCAAGCCGTTCACAACCACAACCACAACCCCTTCAATGACGATGACGAAGAAGACGACGACGACGACGACGAGGATGACGATGACCTCATGGATGAGGACAGCGAGGTCGAGGAGTGGGTACACAACATACGAGCCAGGGGAATCACCCGCCGCTGTGCCCCCATACACATAGCTGCCAAGGAGGGCCATAACGCCGTCATCGAAAAGCTGCTGGAGCACGGTGCCAACATCCATCTCGAGGCAGAGTGGTACTGCTCCTGCCGCCCACCCCTCTCGCTGTGGGAGACGCGCGAACTCGAGGCGGCCGGCACACTGCGCGAGAACCTGGAAGCTTCATATTGGCCGGCTGTCCACCTAGCCATGTGCTTTGCGCGTTTCGATACTGCCAAGTTTCTTATTGAGCGCGGTGCCCTTAACAATATCCCCAAGGGTCATCTGGGTTTCACCATCCTCCACCAAGCTGCTTCTATAGGAAACCTCGACATGCTCAAGTACATTGTCAAAGCCGGCAAGGCCACCTGGCCCACGGTCGATATCGAAGACGACATGGGCCTGACGCCTCTGTATTTTGCCTGTGCCAAGGGCCATTGGGACACAATCGTCCCCTACCTGATTGAGCAGGGCGCCAACATAGACAAGGAGTTTGAGGTGGATCTGTGGGAATTCAAGGCCAAGACGACGGTCCTCGGCGAAGCTTGCTACCTCGGCCATTACGATCGCGCCCTGAAGCTCATTGAGCTGGGTGCAGATGTCAAGCAGCAGCTCGAGTTCAATCAGCTGACATTTGGGAGACGACACCGCCTGGAAGAAGCGGATAACGAAAACGAGGAAGCTGGCGATGGCATCAAGAAGATCCCTCTTCTCCACGTATGCTGCACCTCCCCTCGACCAAAGGATGACGACTACTACTCAAACCCATCAGTTCGGTCGGCACCTTTCAGACTGGCCAGAACCGAGGAGCCGACAGCCTTGGAACGCGTAGCCCTGATAGAAAGGCTTCTGGCTGCGGGCACGCCCATTGATCAAACCTGGGACGACGGCAATGGCGAAACCCCTTTGTTTATGGCTGCACAGTTTCACGTCACCTCAGCTGTCAGGGCCTTGTTGAAGGCTGGTGCCAATCCCCTTGTCCAGGATAAAAATGGCCGAAACGCCTTGATGGCCGCACTTTATCACCCACTAGGCGAAGAGCCCTGGACCACGTTTGCCGAGTGCTTCCCATCGAGTTCCAAGCCAGACAAGGCGCCCGAAATTGTGCGTTTGCTCCTAGAGGCAGGCGTTCCAGTCAACCATCAGGACTCAAAGGGACGTACCGCGTTGCACCTTGTCTTCCGGCCCAGGAGAGCCTACGAACTAGGAGCGGCAACAGACGCCATCTGCAGCATCGTCCGATTGCTGTTCGACGCTGGCATTGACCCATGCATTCGCGCCAAGGACAAGACCCCCGTCCTGAAGAACGCACTCAAATGGGATTACGGCCGCGCTGCTGATCTCCTCGTCCAATTCCACGGTCCCGCCCTTGGCTCGCATTTGGACCCCAAGGAGTTCCGAGAATTCTATCTAATGATAGCCGAAGCCACCTCTCCCAGGATTTACGCCACGTATGGGGCTCCTGAATCAGCCTCTTCGTATGACTTGCTTCTGGATATCGACAGCTCTCATCACCTCACGTCCGACAAGAGCCTTTTATTCGACCTGATCAAGAAAGGGTCCGAGAACGGAGAATGCTTCTCGGCAGCCGAAAAGCTTGGCAAGCGTGGCCTCCATCGCATGGACCTGACGCTCGAGGAAAAGACCAAACTGATGAAGAAAAGCATTGACCATGATCTGCACAAGCTGATGATAGAGCTTGTCAACGTCACCGTCCACGCCGTCGCGCCGTCCGTTCTTCGAGACAAGGCCGTGCTCGAAGAAGCCCTACTGCACATCCTCCGCAATCCCCGACGGCTACACTTTTCGGAACCCATGATTGCCCATCTCATCAACGCCGGCGCCGACCTCCACCGGCCATGCCCTTACCAGCTGGAAAAGAAAGCATCCGATACCACCACCTCCACCACCACCACCACCACCACCACCTACCTGCCCCCCCTCTACACCGCCATCTGCTACGGCCATGTCAAGGTCGTCAAGTACATGCTCTCCAAGCAACCCATCCACGGCAACCCCCACGCCCTGCTCAACCCTTACCTCCACCAGGCCGTCAACCTCGACCCGGCCATCCGGGAGAAATGGCCCCTCACCAATCAGCAGGACGAGGCCAAGACGCGCAGTGACATGGTCCGTGCGCTCATCGAGGCCGGCGCCGACCCGGCCCTGCTCAACAAAAACAAGGACACGGCGCTGTCCATACTTGTAAAGGGCCTAGCCGCCGATCCAGATCGCAGAATGCTCAAGAGTCTGGGCCATTTGATCAAGCCGCTGAGTCGCGGGGTGGATATCAATGTGGTGAATAAGGAAGGGAAGAGTGTGGCGGACTATCTGAAGGAGTTGATAGTTTGGAGGGAGGTGGAGGAGAAGGATCGGGATGGTCCAAGTACGAGTGAGGCCAAGATGAAGGTTAAGAGGATCAATGAGGCTATCAGGATGTTGAGATGTAGGATGGAGTTGGTCAAAGAGGAGTCGGATGATGAGAAAGGTGAGGGTAAGGAGAAGGGGGAAGGGAAGGGAGAGGGCAGGTTGATGATCAAGTGGTATGTTCCCAAGGGAGGTCCGGCGGCCACGGGAGGCAATCCGGTGTGTCCGCCGATGCCGGCGAGGGAGAGAGGGAGGTACGCAGGGTATGGATCATATCTGTAAAAGGATTGGGTGTAATGGTTTAAGAAGGTGTGTGTGTTTTTTGTGATCTTATATGGTTTTATTTTGGGCACCTTTTATTATGTTCAATATGATCTGGTATGGTCGGGATACATGGTTTATGTTTTTAGAAGTAAGAGACGGGAAAAGCATTGCACCGAATAGGGTGCTGACTTTGTAGAGGTAGCGTTGTGTCATTTTTGCAACATGGATATTTCGTTGCTGAGGGTGTACATCACTGCCCGGAGAAAGCTGTTGGTTGAGGTTGCCTTGCGAAATCCCGTCCTATGGCAGTGGTCACTGCCGAGCCTTGCCTGCGTGACGGAAGGAGCTCATGAGTCGTGCCCAACCCAGGTTGTTGTCTCTCGGTTTCGGGTCGGTACTTGGGTCTTCTGAGCTTTTTCGTCTCCGTCTTCAAAACTTACACCAATCAGCCTCACCTTTTGAGTACCATTCCCATCGACATGAACCGCTCGGTTTTCTCCTTGTCGTCCATTGACATCCATTTCTTCATTCATTGATGTGGCCTCGACCTATGAATGGACGGATGTTTACCCTGCGTGGCTCAAGATGATTGGCGTTGGTCGTTTCTGCCCAACTTGCTCTGCCCCCCACCAAGATTTCAGCTTGACAGGCCTGTTGCTGCGCCTTCTTCTACTCAAACGAGTCACTTCTCAATGTGCTCATACTTATCGACGCAGACTCGCGACCTACCTACCTACCTCTAGGTAGCCCAACACAAACATCTCGTGGATTTGAGCGAGCCTCGACAAACCTTCTTTGCGTCATTGCTTCATATCCATCACGCGTGGGCCGTTTGACTCATAAGAAGCCAGGCGTGGACTGCCTGTGGTTTGCCGCGGCGGCTTGACTTCGATATCAGCAACACAACCGTCGGCGGCGACTACAACTACAGCACCTGCCACCTGTTGACCATACTGCATTGACTGGGAGTTGTTCCAGCCGCTCAGTGATTTCTTTCTGGCGCCATGGAAGGCAAGCAAAGTCGCGTTCGCTTTGCAGATGAAGATGGAGGACGCCTGTCGACCGCTTATCGACAAATTGTGGCCAAGATGCCCTTCCTCGATGTGAAGGAACAGGAGCAGCAACAGCAACCGGAAGAGCTACAGGAAGAGGAAGAGGAACAGAAACAACAAGAGGAGGTAGAAGTGGAAGAGGAAGAGCATGAGGGTTCACCCAATCTTTGTCAGCGTTGCAAAGAGCTTGATCTCGACATGATCTTTAATGGCTTATGTCTTGACTTAGACTCAGGCAGCGAAATGGTACTATCCCTTGGCATTCTCGATAAGGACTCTCCATGCGGGCTTTGTCAGTTCTTCTACTCCATGCGCCGGCCAAACCTCACTGGTGAAACCACGGGCTTCTATCACCTACGCAAGTACATCTTAGAGAACTACCACATGCCGAAAATATGGTCGAACCGTTTTTCCTCGTATACCGTGTGGGCTGTTGATCCGGGTTCGGGATCTCAAGACTTGGAATGGGGTGGCCATGGGCTTTCAATTCAGCACATGACTGACAGGCCACAGTTATTGTTTCTCCCGCAATCCACCCAACCTTGCCCGTATCCAGAAGAGTGGACCTTTAAGGGATTACCTGTCTCTGAAACATCTATCAACTATCGTTTACTGCGTCATTGGATCATGGAGTGCGAGGATCACTGGGGATGCAGGAACTCCAGCTCCGAACTCATCAACGCTTACACTGGACCAACGATCCGTGTGATTGATTGCGCAACTCGTCATATCGTGGATCGACAGCCTGGTGACAGATACATAGCACTTAGCTATGTTTGGGGTAACCAGCCGTTGGTTGGGAACAAAGGCAGTCGGGTTCTGCCAACCAATGCCCCAAAGGTTGTCGAGGATGCAATGGTCGTTGTCAAGAGGCTTGGCCAGCAGTATCTTTGGGTTGACCAATACTGTATTGATCAGCATAACGATCAGGACAAACACGCCCAAATCAAAAACATGGATCGCATCTACGAGGGATCCCATGCAACTATTGTAGCCTTTTCCGGGGTTGATTCATCTTCTGGACTCCCTGGCGTCAGCAGCATACCAAGAACACGGCAACACAGGTTCACATCTTCTAAAGTGACCTTACTAGGCTTCACACCTCCGATAACCCGACAACCTTTGGACGCCTCAATTTGGATGAAGAGAGGTTGGACCTTTCAAGAAGCCCTTCTCTCACGGAGATTGCTTATCTTCACCCAAGAACAGGTGTACTTCCTCTGTTCGCGCGGGTGGTGGGTTGAAAGCTGCACTCGAAGAAGTTGGATGCGTAATACTACCAACAAATTCAAACCATTCCTGTCGGAGGCAACGATGAACTTAATTTCACCTTTGGCCAGGATACCTGTTCAAGAATTCGAATACATGCTGCCAGTTGGGATCAGTGGTCTCCTCGATCTTTTTGAAAGATTTACGCGGCGACAATTGAGCTTTCAGTCCGACGCGCTGGATGCTGTTCGGGGCCTGCTTTCACGAGTCATGGTTTTAACCTATTGGGGGATACCTGTCAACAACTGCGTCTTTGATTTCGACACTTTGACGGTGAATGCAGTCTTCCTTCAATGTCTTTTTTGGCAGCCTGATCGTAAGGCCACAGACGCAGAATATCTTGGCCGTCGAGAAGGATTTCCAAGCTGGTCATGGCTTGGTTGGAGGATACCAGGCACTTTTGGGTATAGTGTTATGGTCCCTTCCGTTGGGTATCGTGGTAATGACGAGAGGTGTTTGGAAGATGTACTCTCGACTGTCAAAGTCGAAGAGACCGACGGTACACTTCTTTCTATACTCGATCTTGTTGAACTATTTGGAGCAGAGGTGGAACGCTCGAGAATGCTGCCTGAGAGGACAACCTACCTATGGCTTGAAGGGCTTGTTCTGACGCTGGGTTTCCAGCCCGTTGGCAACCGTCATGACGGTGAAATCTGCTTCTGCTTCAACCATCCACTGGGCCATCAAGATTCTACTTGCCTGATGGAAGGTAGCTGTGCACTGGATAGCAAAGATAACGAAGTAAGCTTTCGGTTGGATGTGAGGGGCTCTGAAGAGATATGGAGGACAACGCTCGCTAAAAAGTGGAGTTGTCTCTGGATGTACTGCTTGGACGGGCGCCATCACTTTCTCATCCTTGACGAAGGAGATGATGCTGCGTATTGTGTTGGTACACTTTGTCTTGGGGATTTCACATGGGACAGGAGCTTGGTTGAGAAGTTGAAGGCAAAAGTACCGCATGAATACAGGAAGGTTAGGATAGGATAGATGGTGTCCACTAGGTAGTTCCTGGGGTTGGAGATGTCACGGAGGCGAATGCAATGATGATGTCTTACACGGCTGTCTCACACTCTCACTCTGTTTGGTCTTATCGGTTGCTGACATGTCATAAAGTTTCTTGGAATTGTGCCCAGAGCGGTGAAGTAGTTTAGATGTATTGATACACAGTATTTACAGGAGAGGTTTCTCGATATGTAACCCGTCTCTTGAAACATCCCCTTGGGTACGGGACCGGACTCGGCACGGCGCGAAACGGCACGGGCCGGGGAGGGTGGGGTAACACCTGCCGGGAAATCCCCAGACGGCTCGGATGGGCGGGGTTGATGGCGGGGTCCGAGCGTACGTCATTCAGCGTTACCATCTTTCCCCTTCCCTTTTCACTCTTGGACATTTTACGATCGAGCACGGGGCGTCATCGATGAACGAAAGGCCAATTCAAAATCGAGTGACCAAAAACATGTTACAATTTCAGAACAAACAGACTCCGAAAAGCCAACCCAGTTACGAACAAACACATTACATATTGACAAACTGTCATCCAACAAAATAGAAATGGTATCAAACTCCCCTCATTCACCTATCCATTATCACCATCCCATCTACTCATCCCAAGTAACCTTCATGGTCACGGGGAACGGCGTCACAGCGCCCCAGTCCTCGCGGAGGTAGAACGTCTGGCTCAGCTCCTCATTCAACTCCCTCGTGATCTTCTTCAGCTGACCCTGCGGCCCGGGCGCCCGACGGACGTTGCTCCGCTTGAACAAGCTGCGGAACATTTCCCTCAGCGCGATCTGGCTGACCTCGTGGCCAAGGTACGAGTGCGTGCCGAAGAAGAAGATCTTGTAGGCCTCCAGCGGGCGGGACGGGTTGACTTCCTCGGGGTTAGGGAAGGTAGTTGGTGATTTGGCCGCGGATTTCTGTTTTCGTCTGTTAGTACTCTGCTCGATGGACAAGAGACAGACTGAAAGGGGAAGGGGAGATCAAAACTTACCACGCTAACAAACACCCTATCGCCAGGCTGCACCCTCACCTCGCTGCCATCCTCCTCCTTGATGGCATCCACCGCACTCGCCTGCCTAAACGCCCCCAATGCGTTGCCCGACAACCGAATGCCCTCCAACACATACCCAAGCAACTGCGCATCCGCGCTCGCACTCGCCGGCTGCCTCGCCAGCTCCTGGATAGCTCCCAAATGCGCCTGTCCCTTCTCACCCAGATAAAAGTCCGCCGCGCTCGCGAACGCCTCGGCAATACTCGGCACGCTCGACGCCACGATAGGCAACACCTGACCAAACGCAACATCCGACGCGCTCAGCCCAGCCTTGGACAACCGCTTGACGAGGTCGTTGCCGTACGCAGTCAGCGCGTTGTTGTTGCCGCCGCTGCTACCGCCACCACCACCCAGAAGCGACCCAAAGAAGGAAGTCTGGCTCTTGACGGCGCTCTCCAAAGCCGTGCCGAGCTGCGTCGCCACCGTGCGGGCCGCGTCGCGCAGCTGGTGCGTCTTGACGGGGTCGTGGTCGTAGAAGATGGCGGCGAAAATGACTGCTAGCACGGCATACAGTTCCTGCGGGGTGTACAGCCCATTGGCGTTGTTCTTGGTCTGCAGGGAAATGCCAAACACCTTGGCGGCGAACAAGGTAGGCACAATGTTGCCGACGTCGCGGACGAGGTCGACGAGCAGGTGGCCGCCGACGTTGTAGCTCTCCCCGGCCAGGAGGGCGTCGGTCGTCTGCGCGAAAAAGGCCTTGACTTGCTCTGCCCACTCGGCGCTGTACAGTTGCTCGTGGATGTCGCGGCGCTGGCTGTCGTGGGCGTCCGGGTTGTTGTTGCTGAGGGGTTTGCTGCCGAGGAGGGACTCGAGACCGGCGTGCCATGAGGACTTGTACGCGCCGCTCGTGCCCTCCTTGTCGTTGTCGAGCACGTGCTGGGCGCCCGCGTGCGTCTTCACCTGGTGCGGCTTGGGCTGGCGGGTGGGTCGGCTCCAGTCAAAGAGGTGGTCGCGCTTGAGGTCCGTGAGGATCTTCTTGTTCTCCGCGGGCGTCACCATCGGGTAGTGCGCATACACCGAGTTCTCCTTGAAGTGGTTGGGCAGGGCGCGCATAAAGAGCTTGTAGAAGACGCAGCCGTGGTTGAGGTTCAGGTCGTACTGCACCTCGTTGTAGCCCCAGTTGGTCAGGTTGCGCGGGTTGTAGTCGATGGTGTAGTGGCGGTCGCCGCGGACGAGGCAGACGGCGTCCGACAGCACCACGCGCGAGATGGTGTAGGTTGGCGCGATGCCCACGCCGGGCACCATGGGTGACTTGTGCTCTTCGGCGACGATACCTGGGTACAGCTCGACAAAGTCCGGGTGGTCGTACAGCCGACGGAGAGCCTCGGACACGCCGGGGTCCGAGTTGATGTCCTCAAAGGTCTCGTACGGCTTGAGGCCAAAGTGCTTGCGGAACTCGTTCAGGCCGGCCAGGTTCCATTTGCGGCCCTGGATGATACCGAGGATCTCAACGGCCCGCATGGAAGGAGGCACGTTCTTGGCGCCAAAGGAACCAGCGGGATCCTCGATGGCGTCGGCGATGCACTCGGCCAGCTCGTCGTCGCTGATCTTGCCGTTGGCGTCGCGGGTGAAGTGGCCCTTGTCCTTGCGGATGGGCCGGTCGGCCGGGTCCGCAGGGATCCCACCCTCGAACTTGCCGAAGCCCATGATCAGCTCGTGGAAGCTGAGGTCGCTGCCGGGCTTGCCAAAGAGCTCGTAGTAGAAATCCTCGATCCAGGCCTCGTCCTTGGCCGAGATGCACGAGTGCCACCGGTAGCAGAGGTTGAACTCGGCCGAGACCACGTTGCCGGTACCGCGCTCCGCACCGTCCTTGGTGCCCACGTCAATGCCCGTGTCGGCACGGGGGTCGAGCGTCCACGTGGTGTCGACGCGGTTGAGGTTGACAATGTTGCGCACGTAGTCGAGCAGGGTGATGTTGATGTACAGACCCGAAGTGATGAGTCTGGCCGTCTGGAACAAGTCGTTGTCGTACTTCTTCCACGCCGCCTCAGCCTTCTCGCCCTCGAGCTTGGGCGACGGCTTGTTGAACCGGCCGTCCTCGTTGATGGCAATCAGGTTGTCGCACGTGTAGTTGTGGAACCGGTTGAAGAAGATGAGCAGCACGCTGACGCCGGGAGGCATGCCCAGCAGGCGCTTGTCGGCGTAGCAGTCCACCTTGAGCTTACCGTCCTTGAAGGTACGGATCGTGTCCTGCATGTCCTGGTTGCTGCCGTACAGCGGCGACAGGTCGAGGTAGGAAGACGTCTTGGACTTGCTCATGTCGCGGTAGTCGGTCCAGAACAGATCGTGGATGATGATGCTGGCCCAGTACCACAGAATGCTGGACACGTTGTTGGGGTGCGACTTGTACTCGGTGCGCTTCATGACCGAGTCGAAGATGAGTTCCGGGTCGGGAAGAGCGCCCTGCCTGATGACGTTGGGCCTCACGGACCGCGCATACGTGTTGCCGGCAGCACCGAGCTGGGGGAACATGATGTTCTGTGTCCATGTGTCAGCAATCTGTCAAGTTCTTGGGGTTGATGAGGATAACACATACGTTGCAAGAACCATCGGCCTTTCTGTACTGGTAATACTCGCCCACGTATATCGAAGGGGGGTGCTCGAGTGTGTACCACAGCTCACCCAAGAAGCCGTTGGTCAACTCGACTCGTAGCTTGGAGTTGCTGGGGAGGTTAGAGACAAGCTGGATGACCTTTTCCATGATCATGGTCTTGTCATCGGCGAGCCTCTCGCCCTTGATCTTGGCCACTACCATGTGCTTCAGGGTCTTGATGTCTGATAGGCATGTTGTTAGCATTGGCTGGCCATGGCACCGTGATGGCGACAGACACAACTTACCTGCCCATCGAAGGGTCATCAAGTCACTGCTGAGCTTGCCCCATTTTTTGTTCTCGCTGAAAGTGCCTGCGCCTTGCTGGGTAGGCAGCGGCTGGACAGCCGATTGGATGGTCTGTCTGTGTCTCTCAAACGCGTTTTCTACTCCTTGTCGGCTGGCGCCGGTAAAGGGGAGCTTCATCGAGGTAGGCCTGGGCTTGGCCATGCTAGCCGTCCTCTCAGCCTTGGGGTCAGGGCCGATGACGGTTCGGCTCTTGGTCTCCTTGCCATTGTCGCTGGTGCTGGCCGACTGGCCGTTTGTACCGTTCTGATAGCTGGACATTGTGGCTTGTGGTGAGAATTAGGAAAGGGGGTATTGGGGTATAATGGAAGAGAAGCACAGAAAAAGAAGAAGTTTACAGGTAGGTACCCGTCTTTCAGAGTGAACTGGGGACGGGAGAGACGGGAGAGGGGAGGAATGAACCCTTGAGAAGAAGACCGGGAGAGATAGAAGAGAGGGAAGAGGCGAGGATGATACACCTAATAACTGCAATGAAATGCAGTAGGTATACGGTCCGTACAGAGAAGAAACAACGAACGAATACCAGCGGTTGTTCTGATGTCACACAGGTGGTTCACGGCATATCCCACTTTGTACCCCGAAGCTTTTTCCCTGAGACAGTCAATGAGCTCCCTCCCGTGCTTTCGCTCCAATGATGTCTCGCCATGATGGTCGGGCTAACAATGATCGATGGAAAATCTCTGAAGGGGGGTTGGCTGTTGGTTTGTCAACCAGTGTCACTACCTACCTCTACCTATCAGCACGCGTGGGGAGGGGA